CTCCCTGCCGTGAACAAGGTGCCGTTTGTGCCGGGCCGGGCGTGCCGGAAGCCGTACCTGCGTCAGCCCGGGCGCCGCGGCCGGCTCGGAAACACAAACCCCTCGGAAACACAAACCCCTGCGCTGTTTGCCGCCGGTTGCGGTTGCCAGAGCGTGGCTCGTGACAGCAGCTCCCACATAAAGGCGGCCATTCAGGGCTGGGGCAGCGAAAGGCTGGCTCTGTCAAAGTTTGTGAGACACAGACCTGGTATTGAGCGGGGAGAGGGCCTCCTGTGCCCCGGGGAATTCAGGGCTGCTTCAGACCCTCCCTGCTGCCGGGGGTGGGGTGAGCTGCTTCCCCAGGTGCTGCCAGCTCTGAAACCATCAGGTGTCCCTGCCGTGCTGCCGTGGCTCTGGGTGGCACCTGGTTTGGGTGTTGTGGCAGTGAGTGACACACAGGAGCTGTGCTGCTGTCACTGTCACCTCGCAAGGCCTGTGGGGACTTGGACGTGTGCCTCAGGCTGGCAGTGTTGGGGGGTAGCTGCCAGCCAGCCCCACAGCTGTGGGATCGGTGCCCCTGGGCACTCTCCCTGCAGTTKTTATTTCCCGAGGTGTGCAGGGGCTGTGCCGGGCTCCCGGAGCCGCCGCGGTTCCCGCCCTACCTGCGCCTCTGCGGGGGCACAATCGGCTCTTTCATTCSCAGCCATCCCGGGGGGCTGTGTGGAAAATGAATGGAAAAGGCAACTGACTGTTCTAGCTTGTCCGTTAACATCCCCCAGAAAAAACGTGTCAGATTTTTCCTTGACACCATGGGCTGGGAGGGAGGAAGGACTCTTAAAGCTGCAGAGCTGGCCCTGCCCTGCCAGGAAGGTGCTGCCCGTCTGCTCCTCTCTGCTGCTGTCTGCCTGCCTTGTCCAGGCTGGCATCTGCTCTCTCCCCTTCTCTGCAGACTCACACTCAGCCTTTGGGCTTTGCTGCAGGTCTGAGTGGGCCAGAGACTGCTGAGAGTCCCTTGGGAGCCTTGCAGATCCCTCCCTCAGGGGCTTTTCAGAGTGTGTTCCCTCTGTCTGCCAGCCTGAGGAAGGGGCTGGCTCAGGCAAGGGCGTGCAAAAGGCATCTGGGATTTCAAACAGTTCTGAGTCAGACACTTGATGTGTGAGGGGCAGTGAAATGTGTGTGCCCCCTGCCACTGGAGGCACCTCACCCTCCTCTCCCCATCCTGGAGGTGCTCAGCCAGAGTGAGCCTTGCAGACCCTCTGTCTGTTGGCTTTGTCACAGATTTGGTGAGGCTGTGTGGAAGCTGTTGATTTGTGAGTGTAGCTGTGGCCTTGGTTGATGTTGTGTCATTCCCACAGTGGGCTGGGCTGTTCTCACTGCTGGTGACACTGTGGTGGCMCTGCGTGCCAGGATGGTGCTGCCAGCCCTCCTGCCAAGCACGCCTCACTTCAGGGGGAAAGGTCTTGGCTCTGAGGCTTGGAGCTTGGAAATAGAGCTGAGTGACGAGGGCTGAGCTCCTGGGCAGGCTGTGAGAGCCTGGCTGTCACAGCAGCTCCTGCTCCGGCGGGTCCAGCCCAGCTTTCGGGCTTGCAGTGCTTCCTTCCCAGCGCCTTGGCAGCCGTGGGGCCTCTCTGCTGGCAGGCTGTGCCTCTCTGCTGGAAGGCTGTGCCTCTGCCTTCCCTTCGATTGGCCATGGAGGTGGAGAGGTGGGGCAGCCCCGGCTCAATCACCGGCACAGAATGGAGCCATCCGAGAGCCCGGCTGTTCCCAAGGCTCCCATAAAACCACTGCAGCCCCAGCCCCTGAGCGCTGCTCTGCAGAGGCAGCTCTTTGTTCCCAGGCTCCAGGAGCTCCTGGCTGCTGGTCTCACATCCTGGGCTCTGTGGGACCCACGCTGGCCCTTGCTGGTTGTGCTGGTCCTGCTGTGTGCTCAGTGGCACCAGATTTGCAGATCCACACAGTCCCTGCTGCTGTGCCCCAGGCAGAGTGKCAGGAACTGTGGCCTCGTGGGATCCTCCAGGACACCAGCAGCAATTCCCAACCTCCAGAAATCTGCAGCTCCACCCCACTGTGGCTGTGATACTGAAGGAGCTGTGCTGGGCTGCATGTCCCAGAGCTCTGTGAGCTGGCTCTGCCATGGCCAGGATGTAATCTCATAAAACTGGTCATCCAGCCAGGTGGCCACTATGGGGATCAGACAGTGCCCATCCCGTGACACCTTTCAGAGGAAAGAAACAGAAATCTGAGGCCCTCCTGGTTGTCTCTGTCAGGTAAATAGAGTAGGACACAGTTGTCTCTAAGGCTGCGTCAGCAACAAAGGCAAAGCTTCCCTGGGGAGACTTTCATGGGACACTAAAGATTGATTGTCCCTTCCCCTAAACTGTGTTCCTTCTTGCCTTGGGAATGTCTGTGGGAGGTTTAGCTTCCCCCTTGTTTGTTCCTGCAGCATGGAGTCATTCTTTCTGCTGTGAGAATGCACAGAAGCAGGTGAACACCAGCTCAGCACCAGGGAGCTTGGATTGACCCCATGGATGATCAGTGTTGGAATGGGAGCTGGCCTTTGCATCCAGTGGGGCTGGGCAGAGAGCTGGGTGCTGGGTTTGTGGGGCTGAGACACTGAGAAGCACTGTTTGGCCATCAGTCAGGAAACCTGCTGGGGTGTGGGTGTGCAGATGGAGCCATCTCACCCAGGCTGTTCCAGRGGGCTGCCTGTCCCATGTGGCAGCACCCTGGGGTCACACACGTGTGGTTTCTGGGGGTCCCGGGCTGGGGCTGAGCCCGGGGCCGTTACTGCTCCCAGCCTGGTTTTGTGGAACCGTAAATCCACTTAATGGGCTGGGTGGGAATTCCAGCTCACCTCCGCTAAATGGGAGCTCTGATGCTGCTTGCAGGGCACTGGAAGTAGCTGAACTGAGACCTTATTCAGGACCAAATCACCCTCCGACCCCCTCCCAAAATAATAATAATCCCTCTGCCATTCTGGCAGCCGGTGGGACAGAGGCAGCCTTTGTGCTGGGCCCTTCGGGGGACCCGCCGTCGGTGCAGCAGCAATGTCCCTTTGTGCGTCCCGCACGCTGCACGGGGACAGGGAGTGGAAGGTTCTGCGAGTGTTTATTTTCTTAAAAAAAGCTGGAGGGGGCGGAGGGGGGGAGGAGGAAGCCGGCTGGGAGGTTCATGTTCACATCCTCCACTTGGAGACACCTTGTCTTTGCGCCTCGCCTGGGCGCCTGCACAATGAGGGCTTGTGCGGCGCGTGGGGAGGGGGCTGGAGGGACCCTGGAGAAAATGTGGATTCCTACGGCTTGGAGGAGCCAGGGGGAAACAGGGTCTGAGTTTGTTCTGGTTTTTGGCCCTGCTCAGTAGCATCTTCAGTCTCAGGCTCTTAAAACTGTCTGTGAGGTTGGTTTCCCTTGGAAGAAGGGGAGTGCAGCTCTGTCAGCTCAGCAGATTGGATGGTGGTGATGGTGACAGAGCTKTGCCCCTGTAAGCGTGTGCCTCTGCTGTGCTTGGCACTGCAAACTGGAGATTTCCCTTAGGTGCACAAGTCCAGCCTGTCCCATGGCCCTGTGCTCACTGCAGACTCCGTGTCACTGCGTTTTGGGGTGCCTTGCAGAAGGGACAGGTGCCCAGTGTGGGACAGGTCTGAGCTAGAGGTGGGACAAGGGCTCCAGGGGGTGTGCTGTGTGCTGYCATCCTCCTCTTGCTCCTGCTGGCCCGAGCCACACCCCATCCCTGCGTCACACCGGGACAAAGCAGGTTGCTAAAAAATGGTGCCATTGTGTCATGAGCAATCCGTGTATAATGAAAATATTATTTGAGCAAATGAGTCAGGAAGCGTCTGGGCCAGTGTCCTGGGCTGGCACAGCCTAATTTTTCTGGTATTCTGTGACGAGCTGGGTGTTTCAGTCTGGCTGCCACTGGCAGGCATTGCCATGATGGGCTGGGTGCTGTGGGCTGAGCTGTGCCCCCRTTGCCCCCAGGGAACAGCAAAGCCTTGCTGAAGCTGCTAAAGCCAGAGTGGCTCACAGGGGAGGGATTGGAGCTGGCAGCTGTCTCCAGGAGCCTCTCAGCCCGTGGCACATTCTCCAGAACCTTCTTTAAGGTGGTCCAGCACTGCAGCAGGGTTCCTGTTTGGGGACAGACAATGCTCAGTGTAATTGATACACAGGAATGTGGATGGAGGGATGCTCACCGTCATGCAGGACCCTTCTTGCCCCATGTGTCATCTTAGAGAAGCTGAATTCCTTGGCTTTCCTGCCAGGATCTGCCCTGCAGCCCCAGCTCCTGGATCTGTGAGTGATGGAGGGCTCAGGGTCACAGCCAGGGCCCCAGGAAAGGGGTGAAGGGATCCTCAGGGCTGGTGGAGAAGGATCCTCCTCAGTCCTGGTGGGACTGGCTGGGGTCCCATGGCAGTGCATGTGGGTGTGGGGCTGGCACTGGTGGCACTGAGGGAGTGGCACATTGTCCTTTGGGGACTGGGAGCCACCTCCACCAGGGCTGGAATGGCGGTGCTGACCGGGGGTCTCTCTCTCCGTGTGCCACAGTGGAGAACAGGCAGCTGACCCTGGACCTGCAGACGGAGAACAAAGGCAGCATTGTGTCGGGCGGGGAGCTGACGATTTTCCTGGACGGGCCGGCTGTTGCTCTGGGCAGCGTTCCCGACGGCAGTGCCGGCACGGAGGGTGAGTGCCCGGCCCCACGCGGGGCTGCTCGGGGCACGAGGTGTGGGGAGAGGGGCCAGAGGGGCCACGGCACCCCCGGGACAGTGCCAGGGCCAGCACCCACCTCCAGCCCTGCCTCGGCCCCGTGGGCTCCTGCGGGAGCAGAATGGGAACGTGAGGGGCTCAGAGCAGCCTGCCCGGCAGCCTGGGAGGGGCAGCCCTTCCCCTCCCTTCCCCAGCCCTTCCCCAGCCCTTCCCCAGCCCTTCCCC